CATGAAAAGCACCGCTTCAACTTTAGTGCTTTAACAGCAGCAGTTTCACTTTCACTTTCCCCTGCTGAAGACTCAGGCACATTTTCAAGCACATTTTTAACAGCACCATTGTCCCGGCTTTCTCTAACAGCCTGTCTGCGATCCCACTCATTCAAGAGCACGCTAGACACATAATCTTCTGTTAGCCGGTCTGAAGGCATTGTAGAAATCTGGGCAGCTACTCCATCATAAGAAACATCTAGGCTATTTATCATCAGCATTGCAAACACAGCCTCTGAAATAGCCAGGTCTCGCTGAACAAGGTCCTGTCTGAGACGCTTTAATTGAGATAGATGGCTAGGCAAATCACCACCTTTCTCCAACTGCAGCCTGCACAGCTTCTTAAAGAAAATCACACTGGAACCAGCATTCTGTCTCAGATGCATATCTCTCAACTTATGCCAAACAGCTTGTGCAGTCTCTTGACCCTCTAAGTTTACCAGCAAGTGGTCTGAAACACTCAAAACAATTGTTCCTCGGGCTCTCATATCTGCAGCATGCCACTCAGCCCAATCATCATCATCCTTATCTGGAGGGTCATCTTCTATGGTGTGAAATAGCTTTTCCCTCTGTAAAAACGCTTTCATCTTAACTTGCCAAACTGCACAGTTTTCAGGCGTGAGGAGGGGAAAGGACATAGCCATCTGGTCAGAACGTGCACAGGCCATGTCTGCTATTACTTAGAGCAAGACACTTCCCTCGTGCAAACACAGATAAAGCCTTGGACTTCTTCAGCCACTCTCTCTCCCACTCAGAGCGCAATTAACAGGCAAACAGGGATGCTATCTTCTTTCTTTGGCAGTCAGCAACATACCTCAAGCAGCAGCAACAGCAACAGCGGCAGCTTGAACACTCTGCTCCAAAACAGCTCTGCTTCTAGGCACCGCAACTCCGTCCAGCATGCAGCATCCGTTCCACCGTCCGGCAATCAGCAACAGAAACCTCTGGCGACTGGGACGACTGGGACGACTGGGATGACTGGAACAACGACTGGTCAGACGACTGGGACAACGACTGGGCCCATAACCGATGTCAGCATCGCCCTAGAGAGCCAGTGCACCAACTGGACTCTTGCACCTCAACCCCGACTGGGCTGGGCGAGCTGGGTAGCACCGCCAGAGACCTCCTTCCCGCAGGAAACGGTCACAGTGCTGTGGACTCACAGCTTGGAGCTGAGAGCACCGGATTCACTGTCTCAATACTTCAGTCGTTGCGCAGCAGAGTTTTGCAGAGTCTTGCAGAGTATAAACCACTCGGAGAGCAGCTCTGTAAAATATCTTCCTTTTATTCTACAACTACAACTATGGTACAAAACTATATACAGAGCTAAGTATTCTGAGCATAAAGCAATGCTATACTGAGAGTCTGCAGCTGCTCTTAGCAGCAATCTAATCTCTAGGATCTCTAACACTCTCACTCTCTCCGATACACTGACTGACTGACTCTCTCTCACACACAGAGACTCACTCACTTGACTAATTAAGTAGAGAGCAGTACATTGCTCCTCCTCTCTGTAGAGTCAGCAGAGACCTCAGGAGATGATCAGGAGATTCTTGGGTATGGGAGGGGTGAAATCTCCTCAGCTACATGTGGGAAGAGAATGATGGATGATTTGGGTTAAAGTTTGATTAGATGGAATAGGTACCTGTCATTTCATTTGTGAAGTGTGGAGTCTATTTGTGGTTCAGGGATTTACTGTGAACTCTCTTGATTTATTACACCTGTCTTCACCCTCAGTAGGTGTCAAAATCACATATCCTTGGAGGATGTGTTCCTCTGTGAGTGTCTCTTGGCTGGAATCACGAGGCGCATCCAGAGCAGTGATGCCCCAAGCACAGTCTTCCTGCTATGTCTTTTCACAAGTGTCATTTGGCGCACCTGCAAAGAGGCAAATGAGGGGCAGTGGTTCAGCAGGGACAGGTCCTTAAAAATGGAGACTCTCTTGGATAATTGGGTGGAGAAATGTGAAAAGTTAAAGCAAACTTAAGTGTATTCATTTATATTTATAAATGGTTAGAAATAACAGCACGCCACACCCATTAAGAGCCCAGTAGCTACAAGTCCTCTTCAGGGCTATTCAGTCACAAGGGGGAAAGTATGTGCTCAACTCTCAATCAATGGAATTGGTGGGACTGAAAATATGATTAGCCTTGGCTGGATTGTGTCCTCTGTATAAATGAAAATGTTCATAAGTGGAGAGAACTTTAATTTTCTCAAAATATCACCTCTGCTGAGATGCTGCAAATGTTCTAACTAGAAATAGGTCCCAGTGAATTCAATGGTACTTACTTCCAGGTAAAATTACAGCCTCAATTGGTTATTTGATCAAAAGTATAAGAATGGTTATTCATTAATAGGTCCAAAATGGGTTAGTATTCTTTCTAGTCCTGTGTGTGTGTGTGTGTGTGTGTGTGTGTGTGTGTGTGTGCGCGCGCGCACACACACACACACACACACACACTTTTTTATGCATACCCCTAAACATTTTGTGAATCTAAGTTTGGCCTCATTGAGGGGCAGTATTTCAATATGAGTAGGAAAATGAGAGTATCCCTAAACATTTTTATTTATTTATTTTTAGGGGGGAAAGCATTGTAGGTGTGGGGGGGCACTATTGCATTTCTGTGGCAGGGAGAGCTGGAAATAAAATAAACTTGAGCAGAGTTTTAAATCTGCATAAGTCTTCATTCATTCACATGCAATTTGCAATTGGTCTTAACTGAATAAGTCTTCAGAGCCAGTTTCTTCTCCCTCTCTCATGCATAATCTCTTTCCCTTGAAGGCAGTTTGGTGCTATTAGCATTCTGCACAGGGCTTCAGTAGATTTTTTAATAATAATTGTTGTCATCATTGTGGGTTAAAGTTGTGCTATTTGTGCCAGATGGAGACTGGAGACCCTTTCCCAGCAAACAGAATGGGCTTGCATTGCTGAGATGTAGCTGCTGGTCTCAATAAGCGGATGCCAGGCAGTGACAGGAAAATATACACCAATGTCAGCAACTGCATTTCTCTGGCATAATTGCCTTAAATGAACTTTGTTACATCAAGGAGATGATGCTTTTAATGAGGTAGTTGGCATACATGTGTAATTGCTGTACAACATAATCAGTAGATTTTATCAACATTGTGTAAGTGTCAGAAAGTGGTGAAATTTGACTTGAGGGTGTGGTTCCAGTGACCTGATCACTTTGTGCATGTTGAACAGCATATCTTACTTTACAGGGAAGATAAATTTAAAACCACATGTGCCCCCTGTCTCCCCTGCCACCTCACAGTGGTTTCGGACAAGCATCCTCATCCCCACACCCCACAATAGCAGCGAGTTGTTCTTGCCAGAGACTCACCTCACTCACTGCTGTTGGGCGTGGGAAGGCAGACATCCACCCACAAAAGCCCACATTTGATTTTGAGGAGCTTGAAGTGTCACTGATCACAGAGGGTTTGTCCAGGAGTGTGGATGGGAGAGGGTTCTTCCTCTGCAAGTTGTGTGCCAGGGACAGAGGAAGCACATAGCATTTCTTGGAAATGCCATAAATTAACACTTGTGAGTTATTCCAACGTATGCACACCTAATAGGCCAGAAGTACTAGTGGACACACAATAGAGACACATTGTGGGCATCAACCCATTAAGGATGAGATTCCAATGAAACAAAATTGGTTTTTAATCAAGAGCTGGAAAGAGTTTGTTCCCTATGAATTTCCTATCGTATTACAATATAAAGGACAGTATTGAAAAGGTGAGCTTCTGTGGGAAAACATGGGAAGTTGTGCACCATTGGTTCTGTGTACCAGAAGAATCAAAGCACTATGCATTAATTGGTAATAAGAATCTGTCATCTTGGTTAAGGCACTGTGCAGATGTCATTATGCTTGTTTTAAGAATGCATTCCATAAGCTTGTATCTAAAAGAAGCTTGTATTGAAAAAAAAGCCTGTCTTCCTTTTCTTGTTGTTGCTCAGCAGGTCCATATACAAAGATTGGAGCTGGAAAAGAACATTTTAATTTCCAGAGTAGCTGCCTTCATTCATTCATTCATTCATTTCCAGACCAGGACTCAATGTGGCTTATAGATGAAACAGAAAAAGCTAAAAACATAGAAAAGATATAGAATCAGAGAACTGTAGAGTTGGAAGGAACCCTGACGATCATCTAGTCCAGGCATGTCCAACAGGTAGATCATGATCTACTGGTAGATCACTGGATGTCTGCAGTAGATCACTGGTAGATCACTGGCTTCCCCCAAAGAAGCTGAACAACTGTGGCTCCCCTAAAAAAAGCTCAACATTTTACCTCCTCCCTGAAAAAAAACTCAACAACTTTGACCCCAACCCCCCAAAGGGGGGTAGATCACTGCCAGTTTTTAACTGTGTGAGTAGATCACAGTCTCTTGGGAGCTGGCCACCCCTATTCTAGTCCAACCCCTGCAAAGCAGGAATATGCAGCTGTCCCTTATGGGGTTTGAACCTGCACTTTGGCATTATCAGCACCACACTCTAACCAACTGCTCTATTGGTAGACTCTCCTTCCTTGGAGGTTTCTAAGCAGAGGTTGGACGGCCATCTGTCATGGATGCTTTAGTTGAGATTCCTGCATTGCAGGGGGGTGGACTAGATGACTCTTGGATCCCTTCCAACTCTACAATTCTATGATTCGATGAAAAGCAATTAAACACTCATATAATTAAAACAAGATACAGATCTATTTTAAAATACAGATAATACCAACAACAACAAGGGGGGAAATGCAAAGCCCCACTATAAATTCTAATTCATATATGTTTGAAACTTGGTGTAGGTTTTCTTTTGCTGCAAATCTTTCGATTGTGATAAGGCATAGAGTTCTCATAAAAGTGTGATAGTGGTTTCCCTATAAAGAGTCTTTAAAGGCACTGCAGAAAAAATCAAAATAAAAAGTAATCATCTAACTTCTCTTTGTATTTTGTCTCTACTCTTCCCAAAGGTGGACCTTGTCACAAGTCCTGTGGAAACCGGTGCTGGGGACCTTCAGCAGATGAATGCCAGACCTGTAAGTGCATTAGATTAAGTAAAGAAAAATATAAAGTGAGGTGAAAGAAGAGTTCATGCATATAGCCTGTTAACAGCAACCCTCCATATAGTAATAATCAATGAGAGTTTTCTTCTCAGTGATAGGAAGTCACTATGCAGCAGAACAATGAGAAATCAAGTGGCTGTTGTTATGATTTGTATACTGCCCTTCATCTGTAGATCTCAGGGTGGTTCACAGTGTAAATATACAAGAACAAACAAAAAATACATAATAAAAACAAGGACAAAAATGAAAACAGGTAGAATCCTGAATTAGTAAAATGCAGAATAGTAGAATACGTCTGAAATTATTCAGGCTGGAGGATGAACATTTCTTACCGTTCCACTACATAAAAAAATGCCTAAACGTAAAACAAAACAAAACAAAACTTACCACATGGAGGAGACTAGCGTAGAAGCTTTCTGTTTCTAGTTCTCTTACTTTCAGGGAGAATTGGGGAGGTGCTCAAAAAGTGAATCCCCCCACTAAAGCATGAAGTTGTACAACCTATTCTAAGTACAGTGGTACCTCGGGTTACAGACGCTTCAGGTTACAGACTCCGCTTACCCAGAAATAGTGCCTCGGGTTAAGAACTTTGCTTCAGGATGAGAACAGAAATCGTGCTCCGGTGGCACGGCAGCAGCAGGAGGCCCCATTAGCTCAAGTGGTGCTTCAGGTTAAGAACAGTTACAGCTTAAGAACGGACCTCCGGAGCAAATGAAGTACTTAACCCGAGGTACCACTGTATATGAGATCCATGAGTTGCCTCTTCAGGCGAAAGCACGTACGGAGAAGGGGACAGCAGGACTGGGGTGCTGGCCTCCCCCCTGTTGGGAAGGGGGCTCCTGCCTCTTGAAGGTCCGCATGTTGCCTGGGATGTCAGCATTAGGGAAGTCTGTGTCTGAGGAGCTGGTCAGGATCAGAACCTTTGCATGATATACAGTATACACAGCTTCTACCAGTGGAGAACTTAATAGGGGGCTTGTGTCATGTACTAATCCTCACATCGACACCAAATTCATACACACAAAACTTATTTTAAAACATTCTTTTAAATCAAATTTTATAACTGCTGTCCTTGGACTACTCCGTTATGTTGCAGCTGAGAATTTCCTGGCCACAAAAGCAAATTTACCATTTGCCCCCCCCTTTTTTTAGATGAGTGCTGAAATTTTGGTGGATATCAATGCTGGTGTTTGATGTGCATTTTAAAAATACTCCGTTGAATGGTTTGGATTTAGTGCAAATTCTGAATGAAAGATGCCCAGTGTGGAGAAAGTGGCGAGAGAAGAGTTTTTCTCCCTCTCTCATAAGCTCCAGGACATCCAATGAAGCTCAGTGCTGGAAGATTCAGGACAGGTGAAAGAATGTCTTTCTTTACCTGTGTGAACTATGGAATTCATTCCTGCAAGAGACAGTGATGGCCACCAACTTGGAAGGCTTTTGGAGTGGATTGGGTTAATTCATGGAGGATAAGACTTTCAGGGGGGGGGGCTCGGCATGGTGGCTGTCGGAGGGAGCCTGCTTCTGAAACCTGTTGCTGGGAATTGCAGGGCAGGGAGCTCAAATTCTGTCTGCAAACTTCCCACAGGCTTCTGGTCGTCTGCCATAAGAACAGGGTGTTGTACTAGATCAACCTTTGGCCTGATCTTGCAGGGCTCTTCTTATTTCCTGATCAAGACAAAAGACAATCAAATACGAAAAAACCCAACATTTCTAACATTCACTGTGCCCTTGCAAGTAGATATGGTTTAATCAGTTGGCAGAACACAGTTGCTAGATGTGCCCACCCTATCCCTAGGGGAAGCTTATTCTACAGTCGGGGCAGACCCACAGTTGTAGTCACAGTGGGTATATGCATGTCTCCAGTGTGATATCTTCCATCTGACCATTGTGCTTGAGCCATGTTGTCAAAATTTGTTTTTGAAATGCCTGCTCATCAGGGATTATAATGATTTCTTCTTGCAAACTTCACTGTATCTCCTGACCCATTATCATATTCAGGACATACATACTTCTTTATAAACAAAGGATGGGTGACTGTGGAAAAGTTATTTGCAGTGGCCAAAATAGTTTGGCTCTTTTTTTGTCAAGAAATATTTAAAGAAGGAGCCCATGCTAGCTTTGATCAATGTGCTTGAGAGAGAGAAAGAAAGGCGCTTAAATGTTTGATGCAATGGATGCTATTTTGAGACACCCTTCATCCATCCTCTCTAGGTTTCTTTTTCCTCCCACAAGTCTAAGCAATGGAACACATTTTTCAGTTGTGTACATGAAAACATCTCTAACACATAACCAAATGACATGTTTTGTTTCCAGAAACAAATCTCTTGAGGGCACATCTGCATGTTAATACATTTTTTAATGGAGTCACAGAATAGAAAATATTCTAATGAGCCCCCCTTCTAAGCTAAGATCCAAATTCTTTTCAGGTTGGAGGGAGGAATAAATCTGAGATATCTTAATCCACAGCTTTCATTTCAAATTACATGGGGGAAATAGCAGTTGGATACTTTTGTTCTTGAACGAATACTGTCCACCCCAGACTGCTTTAAGTTTTGCCTTTTTCTGATTATTTGCCTCTCTCATTCGCTATTTATAAATCTTTCCGGAACAACCACCTGCATCTTATTCCTTTTTTCTTATTGTCTACATAAATTTGATATGTAAATTTGCACACTTAAGAGGGCAATTAATAAGGAATTATAAACAGTGTGTCTTACGAGGAAGAGATCGCTTCAGAATATGATGTTATATAATTAGCCAGCCACTATAAATTAAAATGCTAGAAAAGCAGGGGACAACACTGGGGTGGAGGGTTGCAAGGGGAGGGTGTGTGCTATTTTGAACTCTCTTCAAGATGCATAGCCTCTATTTTGTAACATTCCATTGCCTTTTCTCAATGGGCTTAAATCAAAACACACAATCTAGGCAAATGGCAACACATTTGAATCCTACTGATTTAAAGGAGAGGAGAATTAAGCACAGATGCAACTTCAGAAACAAACAGGGCTGTAGTACTGGATCATGCCCATGCACTCACAGACATTTTGAAATATTCCCATAAAGCTACACAGCATTTGTACATCACCTTAATGAGAATAATTAGTCTTTGGGCACTTTCCATAGTCAGATATTTGACTGATAGGGCTTCAGAAAGTATAGTGACGTTAGGAGAACACCATCTCTTCCAGATTCTTATGCAATGCTCCTGGAAGAATTTATCAGGGAAATGTCTGCTCTTCTAGAACAGATATGGGGAATTTAGCCCTCCAGATGTTGATGAACAATAACTCCCATTAGTTCTGGGCACTGGCTATGTTTGATGGGGCTGTAGTTCATGTTTGATGGGGCTGATGGGAATTGTAGTTCAGCTAGAGAATCCTAAACCTGTCCTTGAGGCCAAACTCTTCCTTCTGTAGCATTGCCACCCTGAAAGTTCTGTCTCCTTGCATAAAAAGGTAAAGGTAAAGGACCCCTGACAGTTAAGTCCAGTCGCAAACAACTCTGGGGTTGCGCGCTCATCTCACTCTATAGGCCGAGGGAGCCGGTGTTTGTCTGCAGACAGCTTCTTGGTCATGTGGCCAGTATGACTAAGCTGTTTCTGGTGAAACCAGAGCAGCACACAGAAATGCCGTTTACCTTCCCGCTGGAGCGGTACCTATTTATCTACTTGCACTTTGATGTGCTTTCAAACTGCTAGGTGGGCAGGAGCAGGCACCAAGCAATGGGTGCTCACCCTGTTGCGAGGATTTGAACTGCCGACCTTCCGATCGGCAAGCCCAAGAGGCTCAGTGGTTTAGACCGCAGCGCCACTCCTAAATCAGTTTGATCCCTTGAGAGCTCCAACAGAAGTTCCACTGGTGCAGCTTTCCTTATCACTCTGTGCAATTGATTAAATTCACCTTTAACATTTTTCATCTAGTAGAAGTAGACTTTCCCCTATCCAAGGAAAGTTGCACAGCAACTCTTGTTTCTGTACCATTTGTATGCTGTAAGTTAAACTTGGAATGCTCCTCACCCTTCCTCTTCACCCCCAAAATAAACTGTAAGTTTTGGATAAGTATTTTAAATTCAGAAAGCCTTAAAGGGCTTTCACATAATGCTTGATGTGAAAAATTGATACCCAAAACGCGCTCACAGCTCTCCCTTCCTCAAGCCCTCCCCCTTCAAAGAAAGACTTGCCTTGGGGAGGGGTTCCCATCAACACAGCAGAAGACCTGTGGAGCTTCTCCTTGGTGGCAAGGGAGACATGGGGTGTCTTCCTGATGGGGATTTACTGATGCTCAGTAGGAAATGATGCCCCCCTCCTGTCATTTGCACCGCAGCCAATGAAAACTCCTATGGGGTCTTCTAATTGGCAGCAAGTGATTCGTAGACCCTCATTTCTTGATGGAAAATTATTCAAAAAACCATGATTCCTGGTACACATGTAATTTCCTGCTGGTATTGCCGTCACTCTTGGGAAAGTCCTCAGGAGAGGTCTGAAAGTGGTGTGTGGGCTCATGCGTAAATCTGAAGCGAATCCAGAGGCCTCATAAGGCTCAGCTCTTCACAATTTCCTGAAGGTCATATCTGGGCCTTAGCCTAACAGGCACTGACATCATCTCTGGAAAATAATTAAGATATTCGGAGAGAGCAACTATTACTTTGTAGGCAATATCTGCTCTTGATTGAACACACACACAACCAAACAACAAGACCTTTACATGCCTATATAAACAGCTCCGGGATTAAGAATTAATATTTTGTTGCTTAAAAATAGAGAATTGTCCAAGGGCAGAGGGAAACAATCAATAAGAGCAGCAAGGTGCAAATGGGAGCTGGTGGGACACAAAAACAGAAAAAGCCGATTCAGCAGCTGTGGATCAATTATGGAAACCTGGCATTTTAAGAAAACATTGGCATCTTTAATTAAAACCCTTGTATTTCACTAATAACTTTACATGTTCATAAGGCTTTCTTATTGATTTCAGTTA